CCCCCCCGGCCAGCTTTCCCCAGTTTATGTACTGAGCATGACGTCCCATGGTATGGAATGTCCCTTTGGCCAGTTTGGCTGTGCCCCCTCCCAGCTTCTCGTGCACCTCCAGCCTTCTCAGTCGGTAGAGCATGGGAAACCAAAAAGTCCTTGACTAGTGTAAGCATTACCTAGCAACAACTAAAACATCGGTGTGTTATCAACTTTGTTCTCATCCTAAATCCCAAACACAGCACTGTACCAGCTACTAGGAAGGAAATTAACTCTATCCCTGCCGAAACCAGGACATATGATTTGATGGCAAAGAAGAAAAAAGCCACTGCTTAAGGAAAACAATTTTATAAAGCTGATTCTCCATTCTCCTAAGCTTAAACTGAAATAGTTCAATAAGCAGTATAAAACCACAAGAAGGTTTATTCAGTTTTGTATGCAGCTGTAATATGCTGCGGTATTTATTAACAGTAAATGCAATGTTTGATACATGGCAGTGTTTTGCTTCAGCAGAACGCTGTAAAACTACCTGCAAGAACAATTTAGTCCATAACTAATATTCAATGTAAGAAAGAGTGGTCTAATGTTTTGCGATTTCTCAGATTCTCAGAACAAACCAGTGAGGAGATAATCTTCATAGAAAGGCAGTATTTAAATGATAGTTTATTTCAGGAACTGACAGTAAACTGCTTAACACCTTCTCTCTACAGTGTTTGTGCCCCAAAGCAGTTAAGTATCTAAGATAGGAATTATTAAAAATTGTGACAGCTCTAGTGTTTTCATTTCCAATGATATCTCAGCATAGGAACATGTACAGCCTATTCACTACCCGACACAAGGAGTCATTCACCATTATAATTGTTCAACCTCTTGGGATGGTTTTTTGTATTTGAAGGCCTATCACAAGAAATTAGGCAGCCTACTGGAATTGACAAATGTTTCAGGTGCTATCATCCAAGATTACTGCTCACCAAACAAAGGAATCTAATGTCTATTTCTCAGTACCTAATTGCCCTGCCTCTCCCTCCTATATGAATCTTCTTAATTTATTTTAATGCTGGAAGAATACAGCAATTATAACTCTGGTAAGGTTGCTACCAAGTTTGTTTTAAGCTAACTAAACCAGCAGCAACTGAAGATAATCAACTGTTCATTTTCCTGTTTTAGCAGGTGGCAAATACATTCTCAAACAGCAGCAACGAGAATATATGCATAGGAAGGAAAGATAAGATGTGTTAAGTTTATCCCAAACAGCTCAAAGCCCATCATCAAGCTACCTATATGCACTGATGCCTCTTCCATCCTAAAGACACAGCTGTCCTTTATCTTCTAACCCTGAGCTACTACATTTTATAATCCGACAGTCACCAGTGCTGTCATCTAATTCACATTTTGCACTCTGACACTAAGTCTGAATGTCTGACATAACATACAGCTAGCATAACACGCATGCGAGCCACAGTAGGTTCACAACGTAATTTTGATTAGTAATTGTAAGATTGTGAGTAGGATGTGAATGGGAAGTCAAGACAAGGGGCAGAAAGCAAGAGGTAAAGTCAGATTCCTGGGGCTAGTTTCGCCAGCAAGAGCTGTGTTTTAACCTGTGATTAAAATCTTAGTATAAACAAGGCAAAATGAAGCCTAGACACAACCTAAACTGTTCCAAGGGGATTAGTCATCATAATAAGCTCATGATTAGACTGTGTCTACCTAAAGATTGTACACACTGAGAATTGTAGAAAAATGCAAGTCTGAGTCCACAAGTCTTCCCTCATGACTTCCATTACTATCTTAGATAGTCTGATAGTCATATCATCTAGACAAGTTCTAGTGAAACTCCCACTGTTTTGGATGATTTTTCCGGTCTGAAGTGCCAAATTTCTTATTAGGCATGATATTGGATGACTGATGCATCTCTTTCCAAAGCAAACTTTATTAGCCTTAATCATGATAAGTTTCATCAGTCCTGGAACATATGACATTTTACTTTATCACATCCTGTAAGTTTATTGCATTTGGTCACATCAAACCTTTCTTACTCAGACAAATGGCATATTCACAGGAGCTTTGATTTTAAAGTTGACTAAACCAGAAATACGGATGTTTGGGTAGTGGTTTTAAAAGATTTAAAAACTAACAGCATTCTTAACTTCTCCATACTTTCCTACTTGATCTCATAGCTAGCGTTTTTTCAATGCTAGCAATATTTAACACCCCCAAATCACTCAAAAATTCTGAACTCTTGGCATTCACCTAAAATCAGACTAAAAATTACTTTCTTTCAACATACAGTATGTCCTTAGTTGAGTGATGCCATTAATCTTCAGTGTGAAAAGCACAGCCACTGAAGACTTGATCTTTACCAATATGCAGTAGCCTAGGGTATCAGAACTTTGTCATGGGAGCCGGGAATGGAATCTAAGCTTCTCTGGCTCTAACCAGACCCCTTTGATCTGAAGAAGGTCTTGGAGTTGTTAATCATAAAGCTGGTGAGAAGGGCGGTGGCACATCTATCTGATGCAAAAATTTCACCCAGGTGAAATCTGTAACCAAGCAAATTCTGTACACTCAGAGCAGGTGGCAACAGCTGCTCCACAGAAGTATGCAAGATTCCTCACAGAAAACGGTTTCTGATGCTTAGAACTCTTTTTGACAGGATTTGCTACCTTTGGTGCTCCTTAGTAGTTAACAATTGGCTTAAGCATGGAAACACTGGTTTTAGTATGTTTTCATTTAGTAAAACATATCTCTGGTCATTCTTGTCATGAATCTAAATTCATCTCATGATGTCCATGTGACATGTCTAAGGCATCTTTTCTCCAGCAGAGCCCTAAAGCATCTTATGCATTATATTCTTAGACCATTATTGATGCCTAGATATCTCCAGAGTGTATCTTAGCATGGATTGTCTTTGTCCAGTGACAGGAGAAATGTGCATTTATGTGAAATGGTGTGGGATTTGCAATGTCACGCACAGTGGAAGGTCTTGCTTAACAGCCTACTTCCTAGTGCCGACTTTATTTATTTTGCAAGGACTCAAAAACCCTGGCAAGTGTTGAGTCTGCAGTTCCATGGAAACCAGGTATTCTAAATTGAATGCTTACACTGCTAACACTATCCTCCAGACAATCTCTTTACAAATGATCAGTAATAGGAAGATGCCTTCTTTTCATTTATCCATTCATTTTAGTTTCTTCAGAATAAACTTGTTTTCTAGGACCATCAGAACGTGCTACCTGCATCCAGAAGCAAATTGGGATGGGCTGCACTTACCGATTCTGGTAATATTTACAGGAAGTTATGAAATAAAAAAATCACTTAAAATGATGGTGCTTACCCCGTTCTGTGTCATAGAGGTACACAAACTTTTCCCACTTATAATGAGTCAAGAGACTCAAGATGGCTCCTTTTAATGCTGGCCGCATCTGGATGACAAACTGCACATCTGCATCTGTTGGGAAGCTGGGTGTGACAAAGGATGTGTGAAGGGCTCCACAAAATGATGTCAGTGTGTTCATTGACATCTGGTCATAGAATCCAAAGATGGCATAAACTCCTCTGGAAAACTGTGAACAGACTAACAAAGACAGAACAGGGGCATTAAAATCTGACATATAATGAACACAAACAAACTTTCAGAGTGTATTTGAAGTAAGCCTTCTAAGCAATCCTGAAATTATTCTGTACGATGCAGCAGATGGAATGAATTCATGAGATAATATATACTAATTTCAGCGTAGCTGTGAGTTGTACCAACTTTGTCACGATTAAACTGGCCTAAGCACATTTTTGATTGCGATTTGTCCTGCTATACTGTTACAATCCACTAACCTCTCCATATTCTTTAAAAACAAACATGGGATTACATTGCTTGTCTGTAAAATACCTTCCCTCCCTTGAGTAGCACCTTGAGAGCTGTTAGCAGCTACGTAACAAATGTCAGGTCTGCCTAAAAGTTAAAACATTAAGATGTAGTTTTCCCTGGTATCCCACCTTGATTCAGATCTGATTCAAAGAAATCTGGATGTTTTTTTCCTTTATAGTCCACAACTCTGAAATCTCTGTGTGAAATCTGGGTGTGGTCTTTTTCAGTGAGAAATTATGGTGGCTTCTTAACTGAGTGTTAAAGTCTTTCAGAAGCAATTTGGAAAGTGTATGGCTCATTAATGACAACACAAACGAGGAACACATATTGTTGCTTCATGGGACGAAAGTTGATATCCCTTAACCTGGAGGCTTTTAGTCATTAACCATTCTGGTGTCCTGAGGAACTCATCTAGTACCAGAAAACAATCAAAATGCAGTCAAAGATCTTTTGCTTCACATGTACTTATCTGGGGAAACACTTCATTTCCCATACTTTATATAGATTGAACAATGACCATTTTGGACAAAAATGAAAGTATTTCAATTTATAAACGTGGTCAACTTCATGGGGGTTGCAGGGAGAAGAGTTTCTTTGTTGCTCAACTCTGTAGGAACAGAGCAAACTCTTTGTGACCCTGGGTTCTTTCCACGGAGGAAGACTGCATCAGAGGTAGTAAGGGAGCCTGATATGTGATGTCCTGGGGCTCTGGTCCATGATAAAGGTTATACAACTGAAATACACTACAGCATAGCAGCACTTCTAAATCAAAACATTTCTGGACTGAGATGAGCAAGTCCCATTTGTAATGAAAATAAGTTTCCCAGAAAAATGTTCATTCAGTCAAGAACTGGATTTAACAACAATTTTCAACTAGCCCCATTAACCACTTTTGCCAAAATGCTGCATATTTAACTTTGCAAAAAGCAAGGGGAAGTAATTACTGGTAAAGAAGACATGACTTCTACACAGAAATATCAGCAAGGTAACTTCTGAAAGTACCATCTTGAAACATTTCCTACCATAAATGCTACTATTCAGAATCACTAAAGCCTGTTAAAGTAATTTTAAAAAGGAGTCTCCACAATATCAGCTCATTGACACAGCATCGTGGATAACACCTCAAAAAGGTAGTCAGGTGTGAAAATTCAATTTTCTTCCTGGAGATCCAGATGCAAAAATAGAAATGCTATTAAGGAATTTCTTTAAGTGTTTAAGCCACTGTAACAGGACATGACCAGTTGTGGATACCAGCAGCAAATAACAGCTGGTGTAGACAGAAAAGAGATGCACATACGGCACAGAGAGGGAGTAAGTAGTAGTGATTTCTGAAAGAAAAGTTTGCAGAAGTTCTCAACCACAGTAAAGAAAAGATATAAAGAAGTTATAATACAGCAAGAGTTTGTTCCCAGAGGCATGACTGAGGAATTAAACACACTGTTTCAAAAGGCATTTTGTTAAACCATATACCAGCAGGATATAAAGTAGAAAAGCTACCATAAAAATTACCTGCTGAAGTAACAAATGAAAGGCACTAACTTACAGGTGACAAAAAGGGAAAAATAAAGACTACATTAGAAAGTCTGGCAGTCTCCAAATCATTTCAATGGCGTGTAAGCCCTCTAATTCTATGGGAATAATCACTGAAGCGGGACTAGCAGAGCTGGGTGTCCTCACATGCACTGAGTCAGTACCTCACAGATCAAGCTTCTTTTACATATTTATTAATGGCCTAGTTTACTAGTTTTTAATGTAGATTCTGTACTGCGGAGAAAGCAAAGAAGAGCAAGTATTCCAGGAAAGGTCCCTTCTTGCAATGCAAACAAAACATATTCTCAAATGTCTCCTGTCTCTAAAAACCTAGAGTATTTCAAATGATCAGGCGTTCACCCATTATTTCTTATCAGGTATAAGGCTCAGGAATACTTTTGAACTGTGACTCCACTGAAATCTCTTGGATTTACAGGGACACAGTATCCGAAAAAAGAGTCACAAGGGGGCTCAGAAAGCCTACCATGCTAAGTGTAGGACTATAATGAAGAATACAGATTAGCTCTTATTAGGACTGCTTGTTCCTACATCCCATAGAGTCAGTGGAGAGGATAGGTGCAGTGCTAAAGGTAACCGACAGCAGCTGGCTCCAGCATGGACCAGTTCCTCTGCATTGTGCTGGGAACCAGCTGAGAACTGGTCCAGTTTGTGCTCTCTCTTGTTCTTAGAGATATGGCACCTAGGCACTGCAGTCAACAGCTTAAAAATGGTTCAAGGTCTTTGTCGTTTGGACAAAATTCTGTTTTGCATGAATATTTTAAAACACTGAATTTAGGTATATCTATTTTCATAGCAGATTGTGCCCATTTATGCAAAGAGCCCATTCTCAATTTGTGAGTAATATGAGAAAAAAATCAGAGTCTGTGAACAGCCTGACCGTAAATAGGACCTTCTCCAAACAATACCTAATCGCCAACATGGAGCTGCTGCTTGCATGGAGCATCCCAGTGCAGGTGAGAGCTTCTGATTTGGCCTTTCAGATATTTGCAACTTTTCTTCCTAAAAATTCTGGAGGATCACCAACAATATCTTCTAACAAGTGCACCCCCCCCGGCCCAGTCTTATTTCCCCTGATTCAGGTTTGTATTCACTGCAGATCTTTAAGATTTAAACACTTTTACAGACTATCTGCCTTCTATTAGTTTTGAAAAATCTTCATCTCTTAAGCTCCTCTGCTTATTTCTTATAGTTTATTCTTCTTGACTATCTATTCTGCATGCACTGTAGGGTGCCAATTCAATTTTACTGGTCCATTTAAAAGGCAAATAGACCCTTGTTTTTATAAGGAGAAGCTAAAAGGCCAATGATCTTGGTCCTCAATGTTCATTTGCATTTTTGAACTCACAATTTTGTTACAATTTTGTAGCATTAGGTCTTTTCTTTAGTTTGTGACCTGATCTCTCCAGATGAACCTACTGAACACCCATGAACCCATACATAGCCATATTGTTACTTGTTTTCCAAAAACCAAACATGTAATTACATTCATTTTAATTTTATTATTATTCTAACATCACTGAGCCATAAGCAAAATTTTAAAAAGGCTAACTAAACCTTAGCTTTAAGCTCTTTTTACAAACTACTTTCTATTGACAATCAGAACAATCCTCATGTTTGAGTAAGAATTTTGGTATCTTTCCTTAATTAATCACAGTTGATTTATGTTTGGTTTTCCCTATTTGAAAAATGCAGATGGTCAAACACATACTTTGGCTGTTAAAGAAGTGATCTGGACAAATCCTGATGCAACCTCATTACTCAGAAAAAAAGCAATTTTTTTTTGCTGAGCTATGAAACTGCTTTTAATTATAGTTATTAATACTGTGGATGCGCATCTGCTTCCAAGGACAGCACATAACCAAGTTGCTTCATAACCTGATTTGAAAAAGTTGCGACCTCCAGAAACAAGGGACAGGGGTCCTGAGCAGCAGTTATCCAACGGGGGATCATAATAAGCCGTTATTTTGGCATTAGGTGCAAGGTGAGTATTTATTAACAGAGACTTAACTCTGGGCTCGTTCTCAGAGTAAGTTAACTGCCACATGCCGTTGTTTTCAGGAGAGGAAGGGCTGGCATGACAGAAGCCTGTGAATTCTCAAGCATGTTAAAAGAAGATAAGGAACTTTCAGGTCACGAGAGATTGAAGTGTTTCCTGCCAAGGAAGGAAAATGCTCAGAGCCAGAGTGATCACAGTGGTAAGAAGAATTTGCTTAAAAAACAAACAAACAAAAAAAAGGGGCAACCAAAAAGCCCAAACCAAACCCAAATAAATAAAAATCTTTGTTTCTGTACTGAATAGCAGCTGAGCCATCCTAAACGTCAGTGTAACTCAATGAACCCCACCCAGCCTTCTGTTTTACTAGCAGTTCCATCCTCCCTCCAGTCAAATCAGCCCCACCACAGAAACTTGCGAAGATTAACCAGATGTGATTTTTTTCACTCAGACCCCAGGAAGGCTCCAGGCCAGAATCTCAAAAGATGCCCCATTTCACACAAGTTACTAGATGTTTTGTGTCTTTTTAAAATTTATTTTTTGCTTTCTAATGGTATTTAGTTCTTCTACCTTTTAGTGACCGTGAGTATTCCTGACACAGCAAGGTTGTATAGGCTCTGACATTTCTACTGCCTATTGCCTGGAAGCTAAAGTCTAAACTTCTCTGACACCTTTTTTTTCTTTTTTTTTTTTTTTTACTTCCAGTTCTTAACTATAAACAACTGAAGCGTTACTAGGAACATTTACAAGTAGGTTTGGATTTTGCTTGTCTAAAGAAAAGATGTATAAAGCCAACAAAAGAAATATGTTAATGGATGGATTTTAATACATCATTTCCACTAGATGATATCATTAACGACTGACTTGTAAATGGCAGGATCCTCCCAAGCATGGCATACAATACACTTCTGCCCAGGGGTGTAAGAGCCTGGTAGTTTTAGAGTCAGGGGTTGGAGGTTACAATACCTCAGACACTATTGCTTCTTCATTACTGTTTGTATGGACAAGTAATTTCCCCTTTGTTCATATCAATTTCTTACAAAATAGGTCTGACAAAATTAACCTATGTCAAAGGGGCACCATAAGGCCTGCTTTATTGGTAATTATACAGCTCTTTGGGATGAAAGGCACTGTAGGAGCACAATCACAACTGACATTATTGCGCGTT